ATTCTATTAGAATTGGGTTACTTTAAAACCAACATAACATTAAAATGAGCTGTTATAAATAAATGCTTGTTGACTAGTAGTAGATGGATTTTAAAAAGTATTTAATCCTAGTTCTTTCATCACTTTCAGTGTGAGAGTAAAACAGAGCTGAGGCTATGAAGGATTACTCCAACCACAGCAGATACACAAAGTATTATATGTCTAGAATCCTATATATTTGTAGCTTAATGAGTCGTACAGAACTTGTAAACGTTACTTTTTTGTCTTTATTGCCATTATCAAGATCTTACACTTAAGGAAAATTCTGTATCGTTTATTCTGAGATTCTCTTTTCCAAAATAACAGAAGCATTTTATAAGCTGTAGGAGTTCCTGATACAGTAATGTACATTTGTCTTCTTTGTGAGACACAGATGGTAGGCAGGAAGAATGACGGATTTGTTTTATCTTGAAGAATACTCTAAAGGTATGAGGTAAGATTGTCAAGAGATGGATAACCACAATGTTAACTGCTTCTATCTCTGCAAAATGGATGGTACATGTGTACTGACAGTGCTTTTCAAAAATTTCAATTCACATGTCATTTATTTGGAATATCATTATATCAATTATTTCTTATTTATAACAAGTGACTTTTTAAAAGAACAGATAGGATTTGTTGTTGTTAGGTGCCATCGAGTCGGTACTGACTCATAACAACCCTATGTACAACAGAACTTAACACTTCCTGGTCCTGGACCAACTTTACAATTGTTACTACGCTTGAGCCCACTGATGCTGCCACTTTGCTAATCCCCATCTCGTTTTCTCTGATCCTCTACCTTACCAAACATTGAGATCCTTCTCCAGTGACTGGTCCCTCCTGACAATATGTTCCAAGTATGAGAGACGAAGTTTGGCCATCCTGGCTTCCAAGGAGCACCCTGGTTGCCCTTCTCCCAACACAGATCTGTTTGTTTTTTTGGCAGCCCATGGCACTTTCAATATTCTCCTCCTACATCATATCTCAAATGCATCAATTCTTCTACGGTCTTCCATATTCACTGTCCAGCTTTCACATGCATATAGTTATTTAAAATACCATGGCTTGGGTCAGGTGCATCTTAGTCCTCAAACTGACATCTTTACTCTTCAACACTTTAAAAAGGTCTTGTGCAGCAGATTTGCCTAATGAAATACGTCATTTGATTTCTTGACTGCTGCTTTTCATGAGTGTTGATGGTTGATCCAAGAAGAATGAAGTCCTTGACAACTTCAATCTTTTCTCTGTTGGTAAGAATGTTGTTTATTGGTCCAGTGGTGAGGATTTTTGTTTTCTTTACATTGAGATGCAATCGATACCAAAGGCTGTGCTCTTTGATCTTCATCAGTAAATATTTTAAGTCCTCTTCACTTTCAGCAAGCAAGGTTGTATCATCTGCATATAGCAGGTTGTTAATGAGTCTTCCTCCAATCCTGATGTCACGTCTTTAATCCAGCTTCTCGGATTATTTGCTCATCATACTGTAAGTATGATGAAAGAATACAACCATGTTGAACACCTTTCTTAATTTTAAACCATACAGTGTTCCCATGTTCTGTTCCAACAACTACCTTTTGGTCCATTTACAGATTCCTCATGAGCACAAGTCAGTGTTCAGGAATACTGATACTTTGCAATGCTGTCCATAGCAAAGTATCATGATCCACTGTCATGATGTCATGATCCATCATGTCATCATCCACACAATCGAAAGCCTTTGCATAGTCAATAAAGCACAGGCAAACATCTTTCTTGTATTCTCTGCTTTCAGGCAAGATCCATCTGACATCAGCAATGATATCCTTCATGCCACGGCCTCTTCTGAATCTAGTTTGAACCTCTGGGAAGTTCTCTTGTCAATGTATGCTTGCAGCCGTTTCTGTATTACCTTTAGTAAAACTTTACTTGCATGGGATATCAAAGAGATTGTCTGATGATTTCCACATTCCGTTGGGTCACCTCTCTTTGGAATGCACACAAATACGGACCTTTTCTAATCCATCGGCCAGATAGCTGTCTTCCAAATTTCTTGGTGTAAATGAGGGAGTACCAGTGCTGCCTCACTTTCTTGAAAGATTTCAATTTTTATTCCATCAATTCCTGGAGCCTTGCTCTTTGCCAATTCCTTCAATGTACCTTGGACTTCTTCCTTCACTATCATTGGTTCTTGCTCATCTGCTACCTCTTCAAACAGCTGAACATCAGCCATTTCCTTTTGGTACAGTGACTCTGTATTCCTTCCATCTTCTTTTGATACTTTCTGCATCATTCAATAATTTACCCAGAGAATCTTTCAATAACAAAAGTCGAGGGTTAAATTTTTTCTTCAGTTCCCCCAGCTTGAGAAATGCTGCGCGTGTTCTTCCTTTTTGGTTTTCTGACTCTAGATCTTTGCACATTTTGTTGTAATATTTGACTTTGTCTTCCCGAGCTGACCTTTGAAATTTTCTGTTCAACTCTTGGACCTCCTCATTTCTTCCATTTGCTTTAGCATCTCTACGCTGTAGAACAAGTTTCAGTGTCTCTTCTGACATCCACTTTGACCTTTTCCTTCTTTCTTGTTTTCTTAATGACTTTTTGCTTTCTTCATGTATGATGTTCTTGATGTCATCCCACAACTCTTCTGGTCTTTGGTCTTTAGCGTTTAATGTATCAAATGTGTTCTTCAGATGATCTCTAAATTCAGGTGGGATATAATCAAGGTCATATTTTGGCTCTAGTGGACTTGCTTTCATTTTCTTTAGCTTCAGTTTGAATTTGCATATGAGCAGTTGATGGTTTGTTCCACAATCTGCCCCTGGCCTTGCTTGACTGATGATATAGACCTTTTCCATAGTCTCTTGTCAAAGATGTAGTCAATTTGATTTTTGTGTATTCCATCTGGAGTGTCCGTATGTATAACTGTCTCTTATGCTGTCCAAAGAAGGTATTTGAAATGAACAAATCATTGATTTTGAGAATTCTATTATGCAATCTCCAGCGTTAATTCTACCACCAAGGCCCTATTTTCCAACTACTGATCCTTCTTCTTTTTACCCAACCTTTGCATTCCAATCACCAGTAATGATCAAGACTATGTATAGGAATTTATGCTAGGATGATAAACACAAGAAATAGTTGAGAGTGTATGTGTATATATATCAATTATTCATTAAAATAATGAGTTACCAAATGAAACAGATTATGTATAATACTGTTTGTCAGTATTGAAAGAAGACAAAAGCAGAATGTGACCTTTAATCATTATCATTGGATAGCTAATTAGTGGCCATTAGGAAGTTCATTCTAAAAATAATGACAGCTTATAAGGAAAATTTAATGAACGCTAAAGCACTAACCATATTATTCTTTGGTGGCATGTGCTACTGCAATTATATAAGGAATTTCTGAAATAATATGCTTATTTGCTTCAAGCATGTATCTGCTATGAAGATTCACAGGAAGTATAGATTTGTAAAAGTTTTACAAATTATTATACATCTCTTTCTTTGAACCAAATCTTTATTTAGAATTTAACAATAGAAGAGAATATCATTACATTTTCTGTAGTTAAGAGATTTCATCAGGAAAACAGATTTTCAATTATAGGCATAGCATTACAAGATTATCATACATTTCTCAAAATACTCTAAATAAAAATTGCGTGTATTATTGATTATAAATACTTACATAACTGGATCAAACATATTTCGAATCTTTAGACATGGTGTCAAACTATTTGGTGGTGAATTTCTTCTATCTAAATGAAATGCTACAGAAAACAAACAAACAAAAAAACTCTTTTATTATTTAACGTTACTCCATTTTCTTGAAAGGTATTCATTCAGACATTCAAATAAATTTGAAAATATTCATTACAGGATTCTTATGAGGCAGACTCATGCTAGATATGTTAGGGTGAACAAGACAAATACAGTTACTCTCTGAGATCCTACAGCTGAATGGGGTATACAAATAATCATCCACTCAAGCAATTTTAAGTAATTATAATTGCAGTTAAGTCCAAAGAGAGAAAAGTACAGAAAACTTTAAAGGTAACAATCTATTCTGGGAATGTCATGTAAGACTTTCTTCAAAGAAGTGGAATTTATGCTGGGACTTGAAGAATAAATAAAAATAGGACAATGAAGAGAGATAAAAAGAATATTTCAAGCAGAACTGACAGCTTGCACACAGTCCCAGTAGGTATATTCAAGAAACTAAAAAAGCCAATGTGACTGGAGCTAGAAAACAAAATGCTAAAAGCCTCAATAGGGATATTAACAGCTTACTGAGGAGCATGTAGGCTATATTAAAATATCTGCACATTATCCTAAAAGTAATAGAAAGCTACTGAGGTGCTTTCTAAGGAAAACAAAATTTGATGTAATCTGTACAAGTGGTGGTTGTCTTATCCTGTTGTGCACAGGGATGCTATGATCAGAATCAACTCGAAAGCACATACAATAACAACAACCGGAAAAAATTTTAAAAACCGACTGCCATATACAGAATAATTAGATGGAAATAAATATGGGGAGACCAGTTGTCGTTAGTTACTGTTGAGTTGGCTCAGACTCAGAGAACCTTGTGCACAACACAATGAAATATTGTCTGGTCCTGTGCCATCCTCACAATTGTTGTTATGCTTGAGCCCATGGCAGCTGTCACTGTGCCAATCCATCTCGTTGAACATCTTCCTCTTTTTTCACTTAGCCTCCACTTTACCAAGTATGATGTCCTTCTCCAGGTCACTGCTGATAATAAGTCCAAAGTATGACAAGACAAAGAATGTCTTCTAAGGAATGGCTTCTAAAGAGCATTCTGGCTGTACTTCTCCCAACATGGATTGTTTTTTTTTTTTTGGCTGTCTATGGTACTTTTAATATTCTTCTCCAACACCACACATCAAATGCATCCATTCTTCTATGGTCTTCCTTAGTCATCATCCAGCTTTCATATGCATAAGAGGCTATTGAAAATACCATGGCTTGGGTCAGGTGCAACTTAATCCTCAAACTCATTATCTTTGCTCTTAAAACACTTTAAACATGTTCTTTGTTGCAAATCTGCCTAACGGTCTGATTTCTTAACTGCTGCTTCCGTAAGTGTTGACCGTGGATCCAAATTGTCTTTAATAACTTTACTCTTTTCTCCATTTATCCTGATGTTGTTATTGGTCCAGTGGTGAGAATTTCTGTTTTCTTTACATTGAGGTGCAATCCATAATGAAGGCTGAAATCTTTGATCTTTATCACTAAGTATTTTAAATCCTCTTTGCTTACAACAAACAAGGTTATATCGTCTGCATACTGCAGGTTGTTAATGAGTCTTCTTTCAAACCTGATGCAACATTCTTCTTCATATAATCCTGTTTTTTGGGTTATTTTATCAGCATACAAACTGAATATGTGTGGTGAGAGAATACAACCCTGGCACACACACCTTTCCTGATTTAAAACCATTCAGTATCCCCTTGTTCTGTTCAAACAACTGCCTCTTGGTCTATGTAAAGTTTCCTCATGAGCACAACAAAGTGTTCTGGAATATCCATTCTTTGCAATGTTATCCATAGACCAGTCAGACGGGTATCAGTCGAAGGTGGAAAAGACAGTGATTTAGTTAAGAGAAATGAACAGTGTAGAGGGAAAGAAGTGGAGAACATCAGGACATATTTTGGAGATACAGTTTACATCATTAGTTGAAAAACTGGATGTGAGTGGGTGGCGGAAGAGGTTAAGGATGACTCCAGCTTAAGACCATATCAATTGCTGAAGGGTATCATTAGCTAGACTAAAAACACCAGACAAGAGGTCAGTTTGGAGAGAGAAGATACTGAGTTCATTTACATGTTGAATTTTTGGTGCCCACCTCCTTGAAGACCAGTATATAGCTGGGTATAAAAATCTGAAACGCACAAGAGAAGAAAGAGTGTAAGAAATAAGCTTGGGAGCTACCTGTGGAATGATGGGTATGGAAAACAGATCAAAGTGGGCTGATGAATAAATGGGAGGTGATAAAGTAAAAAAAAAAAGTGAGGGTAGTAAGCTACTAACCTATAAACAAGTGGAAAAACAGAGTCAAAGCTCAAGGACAATGTAGAGTCCAACAATGTGTTTTAAAGATGGAATAGACTACAGCATGTGTAAATACTGGTGAAAAGATGTAGTAGAGGCAGGGAATGAAAGCATAGGATGGGAAAGTACTAGAGACGGCATCAGGGAATACGATACAGAGTATAGAGGATCAGCTCTGTTAAGACAGAGAGCTCCTCAATTTTAATAGGAGGCCAGAATAATTAGGAAACCCTGGTGTGGTACTGTAGGGTAAGCACTGGACTGCTAACCACAAGGTCAGCAGCATTTCAATCCCACTAGCTGCTCCTCAGAAACCCTATACAGGGCTACTATGATTCGGAATCGATCCAACAGCACTTAACAACAACAACATGAGTACAGATTCTGGTGATTTTCTGATGAAAATCTGAGACAGGTATAATCTAATCAATTCTCATCAACTAACAATTACAGGAAGGCAGGTAAGCTAAAGATTTGAAAACAGTGGATAAAACCTAAAACTGTTGTTGAAGAGATTAAGAAAGTGAAATGACCAGTAAACACATTAGAAACTTGCGGTGATGCTAAGAGATTAGTTGAGGTTGACTATGGAGTCCTGATGTGGTGCTGTGGGTTAATGCTCTGGACTGCAAAGTGAGCCCCTCAGGTTAGAAGGCACACAAAAATGGGACAGGGAAAGAGTTGCCTCCTCAAAGAAGAGTTGACCATGATGATGTAAATAAAGCAAACTCCTCAGGACCTTCATTTGGTGGTGAGCACAACCCAAAATGAAGGGAAACAGCTGTAAGCATCCATGAATAATTGGAACATGGAATATATGAAGTATGAATACATAAATATCGATATCCTAGGCATTACTGAGCTGAAATGGATTGGCATTGGCCATTTTGAATCTGACAATCACATTGTTTACTGTACTGGGAATGACAAATTGAAGAGGAATGGCGTTACATTCATCATCAAAAAGAATATATCAAGAGCTGTCATGATGTACAACACTGTCTATGATAGAATAATATTCATAAACCTACAAGGAAGTCCAGTCAATACTACTATTATTAAAACTTATGCATCATCCACTAAAGCCAGTGAAGAAGAAATTGAAGAATTCTACCAACTGCTTCACTTTGAAATTGATCAAATAGGCAATCAAGATGTATTGATAATTAACAGCGATTGGAATGCAAAGGTTGGAAACAAAAAACAAGGATCAGTAGTTGGAAAATATGGCCTTGGTGATAGAAACAATGCTGGAGATTGCATGATAGCATTCTGTAAGACCAACAGATAATGTTCATTGCAAATACCTTTTTAAAACAACATAAAAGACGACTATAAACAGTGAGGAACTCCATCAGCAATAACACAGAGTACCGGACCAAGCAAGCACAGGGGATGGTGCTAGAACTCTGAACCACATACAAAGGAATATTTAGAAGGTTAGAAGGCTTACAGCCAAGGTAATTTGTAGCAGATGCAAGAAATCCATTGCTTTCCAATTCAAGACTTCAGCTGCTCCCGCTGCCATCTTGGGCAACACCAGTCGGGGGGAGTATCAGAGCAGCCACGGATGCCTGACAGAACCCAGAGAAAGGTGTGGACACTCTTTTTTTTTTTTTT